CTACTACTACTACTACTACTACTACGACGACGACGACGACGACGACGACGACTACTACTACTACTACTACGACTACTACTACTACTACTACTACTGCTACTACTACTACCACGACTACTACTACTACTACTGACTACGACGACGACTACCACTAGTACTACTACGACGAATAGTAGTAGTGGGCCCATAGCCCGACTACACCCACACGTTCGTGATAGAGTTACTACTCAATGAAAGAAGTTAGCAAGTTCGACTCGTACATTTCCCAGCGATACTTGAGTTCGGCCTCGCCACCCCCCGACCAGCTCGCTTTGTGTTGGCCAGAGACAATCAACACAGATGCTTCAATATCTGGGGTACGCTGTTACTCCCTGGACCTCTCCCAGGGTGTGTTTTGACTAGGACCTCGATGCAAAACCCAGCCGCGGTGACGAGAGCTCCCCAGGGGGTCTAACAAGGCGAAAACGAGGGAAGCGGTATTAGTACATTTTCATCCTCTGATCCTGGGTTGTCCACTTCACCAACGCCAGCGGGCGGACGATAGACCGAGACCCTCGACGTCATGATTTTTGTTCGCAACGTCGACCTCAGGAGGTCTGGACCCATTCCCTGGGACTGGCGTTTCATCCTGAGTCGGTCTCTGACGGTCCTGCCTGGGGCCTGGCGCGGGGGGGGGCAGAAGCTAAAAGCATCAACAATAGCTGTCCGTCGTGCTTTTTTTCACGACGCGAGGGTGTCTGGAGAGAGCGCTTCAAGGAACTGCGGAGCGCCCATCGCCACAGCGAGGCAGCTCATCTCGGAGCAGGCGCGGGTCACCATGAACGCCATCGGGTTCACTCCCAGCCCCATGCCCTTGGCAGGAGCAACAATACACACTGCAGGGGGCTGGAGTACTTTGACTGGGCATGGACATCTTTGGCTTTTTTCTGGCTCTGGGGGCCCCCGCTGGGCCCCAGCACAGTCAAAAAAGGACTCAGGGTGAAAAGCGGGTCACAGGGAGTGGAGCGACACCTCCGGGGGCCCGCGCCTTCCACAAATCATGACGCCCAGGTGGTGAGGCTCCTATGGCTGCGCACAAGCAGCCCCCCCCCATGTAGTCCTGGCTGGCCTCAGCAGGCCCCCCTGGGTAGTCCCAGCGGCTGGCCTCGACAGGCCCCCCGAGTAGCCCGGGGCGGCCTCAACACCGTAACCCTGGGGCGCGGGGCGCCCCGCGGGGCGCCACTGGAGGCGGCGCCAGAGTGTCGAGAGCGCCCCGGACTACCCGGCCTGCTGAGGCCAGATGGGACTACCTTGGAAAAGCTGTCGCTGCGCAGCCCGGTGCCTTACCACGTCTGGGGTCTGGGGACAGAGGGACGAAGGACAAAGGAGAGACATTGCCATGAGAGTGGGAGGAGGAGGAGGAGGAGGAGGAGGAGGAGGAGGAGGAGGAGGAGGAGGAGGAGGAGGAGGAGGAGGTGGTGAAGGTGGAGTAGGAGGAGGAGGGGGAAGGAGGAGGGGAGGAGGAGGAGGAGGAGGAGGAGGAGGAGGAGAAGGAGGAGGGGGAGGAGGGGGACGAGGAGGAGGAGGAGGAGGAGGAAGAGGAAGAGGAGAAGGAGGAGGAGGAGGAGGAGCAGAAGGAGGAGGAGGAGGAGGAGGAGAAACGGCACATACAGAACCGCCGTCTCCAACTTTCGACATAATCAAGACGGAAAAACAAAGTTGGCCACTGGGTGCACTTGTTCTCCCTGTTCGGCTTTAGTCTTCCTCCTCCATCTCCTCCTGGTTATCCCGTTGCTCCTCCTCCTCTTCCTCCTCCGCCTCCTCCTTCTCCTCCTCCTCCACGTGCTCGCCCTTCTCGTTTGCCACGGGACGGCGGAATGGTATGCCTCAGCGACAACGACGGGGAACGAGGAGGATAAGGGTAATAACAAGAAGGTGCAAGCAAGGACGGCTGCCACTGTTGCAGGTTGCAACAAGAGCCTGCAATGGCAAACGGGAGCATGGCTTCAAGACGGACTGGGAGGAAAGGGAGCAGGCTGTAGCAACGCTGGCGGCGACACATGCATCAAAAACGGAATTCAAGAACCTCGATCGTGCCCGCTGCCAGCGCGTACACGTTCTTCAGCGCACCACCCACCTCTTTGGGGTGAGAAAGCTGGGCACTGACATGTTCACCCCGCTTCTGTTTCTCCCGCCCTTCATCATCGCTCTCCTCGTCCGCTTTCTGCTGCTCTTCCAACTCCACCTCCTCCCATCCCCTATCCTCCTCCTCCTCCTCCTCCTCCGCCTCCTCCTCCTCCGCCTCTCCCTCCCATTCCTTTTGTCTCCTCCTCCCCTCTGTGCTCCTTCCCCCTCCTCCTCCCCGTCCTCCTCAGCTTCCTGCCTTCCCCCCTTTTCTCGATGCCCCCCACCCCACGCTTCCGAGGTGCACGCTTCCCGGCCCTATACGTGCCTCTACGCCGATGACGTCGTCGGTGGTGTAACATCGCAGCGACTGGCAGTGGAAGATGGCGGCGCAAGCCTGGGGAGGAGGAGGAGGAGGAGGAGGAGGAGGAGGAGGAGGAGGAGGAGGAGGAGGAGGAGGAGGAGGAGGAGGGGAGGAGGAGGAGGAGGAGGAGGAGGAGGAGGAGGAGGAGGAGGAGGGGGGGAGAGCAGGAGGACCTTTTGACACCAACAGGAAGCCGCAACCCAAGTGTACCCAAGCGGGAGGGCGAGGCCCGCAAGGGAAAAGAGAGCGATCAGTCAGAACCCCACTGGCCGTCGTGAACTGAGGCACTCGCTTGAGAGCCCGAGGCTGCGCCGAGAAGGCGGATAGCCATTTTTGCCTGCGCGGCACCAAGCTGCCCCCTTACTCCCAATGTGGTGGGCGAGTCCACCGATGGCCCAACACAAAAAGCGCGAGCGACGGGTCGGCTCGCTGGCTGGCCGACGAAACCAGCGAGCAGGCGGCGCGACTCAGTGCCGGCAAATCGAGGAGGTCTGGCGGACGGCAACAAAGCAAACACCAGCGAGGCGGATGCCCAAGAGCCGACCGCCAGTCCCCATGAGAAAGACAAGCAAGGCAAGACCAGTAGGAGCGGCAGCCCCTGGTAAGACCCCGACTCTGGGCCAGCCGCGGCAGATGCAGAAGCTCGGGCGCGACTGCCACTAGCCACCTCCAAAAGCCGCAGTGTCTTCAACACAGGGAACAGCTGGCGAGCGCCGCCCTCCTCCTCCGAAGGTGGGGGGAAGGGCTCGAGGGGAGCGGGGACCTCCTCCTCCTCCTCCTCCTCCTCCCCCTCCTCCTCCTCCTCCTCCTCCTCCTCCTCCTCCTCCTCCTCCTCTTCCAATGTATCACGCCACGGGCCGACCGAGAGCGTAAGTCCGTCGCGTTTCGGGTGCCTGCCTTGCGAGACCAGACTCCACGAGTACCGTTTGCCCTGGGCCCCCGACTTTGGTAAGTGCAAGCGTTCGGCGTTCAAACCTCGCATCTGTCCGCCTCCAGTGTAAAAACTGCGCAGGAGGCACGCGAAAGCAACACTGCCGCCGCTGGCATCGAGAATAGTAGCTTGTAGAACAAGAGCATCGTAGCCACGAGCTCCGACGCCAGACCTCCACGGCAAATGCCCCTGGGAGGTCTCGCTGTCGACCTGGACCCACAGAAGCACGACAAACTATGCCGAAAACGCCCAGTCCAGGACCAGGAAACGCCCGAGTCTCTTCTCGGACGCCGCAGGCGGTGGCCGAATAGGCACGCGCTGCACCTCTGGCCCCAGCTCAAGCCGAGGCCACAGAGACATAATCTTAGCGACAAAAATCCCTAAAAGCCCTGGCAACTCGCAAAGAACGGTCCGAAAACTGCTCCCGTTCCTGGCGAGGCGCGGGGTGAATGAATCAACACAGCGGCCTTAGCAGACACATCAACAGCGTGGTTACCTTCGGCGCAAGTAAGCGTCCCAGCAATCTTCGGCCTCCTCGACCGACTGATGCGCCTCGACCTCGTGCGCGGCACAACTCCCCGCGATAGGCCGACAGCACTGGGCCCAGCCAGCGCGCGCCCTCTGAGGCGAGCACCGTTCTGCCCACGGCAGAAAATAAAAGTCGACGCAATTCCCCAAACATCTGGCCAACTTTTTTGGTGCGTGGACCCCGGGGGTCAGGACCACTTCCCCAGGGCCGGTTCTGCGTCCTGAGTTGACTTTTTACCCTCCCGAGACCCGAAGGTCCCCGGAGGCCGAAAACGTCCAAAAACCGCCTGCTCCAATTTTCTTGGAGCGCCGGATCTCAGGGTCTGACAAGCTAAAAACGGATCACCGGGCCCGCTCGACCATTGCAAAGCAATCGAGCGACTATGAGACTATGAGGCTCTGCCGCCTAAGGCGCCTGCGGACTGGGGGCCCACGCAGGCCCCCTAACTCCAGCGATCTCGAAACCCGCGAGGCCACCTCCGAAATGCTCGTCGACCGTGGTTGATTATCTAGGAATGAAAACCTAGGTCCATTGTCTTCAGATGATACCCTATGGATTATTGTCCTGTGAACGGATGGGGCTCAGCCTCCCCGGCCGAATCATTATCTCTCCGGAAAAATCAACCGCAGCTTACTTTTCCAAAATTATGGACCAGGGTGTATTCCAGTCCGGAACGTTCCTCAAACGGCGCCCCTCAAGCTCAATCATTATCATTCCAGAATAATATATAATAAACCCAGGGCCAAGATTCCGGGAACATTCTGAATCCGGGTTTATTATCCCCTGGAAATACCGAACCGGGGTCAATATTCCGACATGGAAAACCTTGTGGGGCCCCCGGGGGTTGGGGGAAAAATAATTACCCTGGCGACGTACCCAACCCCTGCGCAATGCGGGGCATGAGTAGATTGGGAGTCGTTATACGGAGGTGATGACGTGACATGGGCGCATGTACTTCTGCGAGCGGCATTCGTGAGGCTCGCAGCCCCCCAAGGATTGCGATGTCCCGCTCAGATCTGCCTGGTGCCTCGCTCCGCAGGACCCACCAGCAGCCCTCGAAAGTGGCAACAGTTTCGCAGATCGCAGCCCCCCAGGGACGGCGAGGTCCCGCTCAGATCCGCGCGGTGCCTCATTCCGCAGGACCCACCAGCAGCCCTCGAAAGTGGCGACAGTTTCGCAGATCGCAGCCCCCCAGGGACGGCGAAGTCCCGCTCAGGTCCGCGCGGTGCCTCACTTCGCAGGACCCACCAGCAGTCCTCGAAAGTGGCGACAGTTTCGCAGATCACACCCCCCCAGGGACGGCGAGGTCCCGCTCAGGTCCACGCGGTGCCTCACTCCGCAGGACCCACCAGAAGCCCTCGAAAGTGGCCACAGTTTCGCGGATCGCAGCCCCCCAGGGACGGCGAGGTCCCGCTCAGATCCGCGCGGTGCCTCACTCCGCAGGAACCCATCAGCAGCCCTCGAAAGTGGCGACGCTTCGCATATCGCAGCCCACCCAGGGACGGCGAGGGTACATCTCAGATCGCGCGGCGCCCACTCCGCAGGACCCACCAGCAGCCCTCGAAAGTGGCGACAGTTGGCAGATCGCCTCCAGGGACGGCGAGGTCCCGCTCAGGTCGCGCGGTGCCTCACTTCGCAGGACCCACCAGCAGCCCTCGAAAGTGGCGACAGTTTCGCAGATCGCAGCCCCCCAGGGACGGCGAGGTCCCGCTCAGGTCCGCGCGGTGCCTCACTCCGCAGGACCCACCAGCAGCCCTCGAAAGTGGCGACAGTTTCGCAGATCGCAGCCCCAGGGACGGCGAGGTCTCCTCAGATCCGCGCGGTGCCTCACTCCGCATGGACCCACCAGCGGCCCTCGAAAGTGGGACAGTTTCGCAGATCGCAGCCCTCCAAGGACGGCGAGAGTCCCGCCGCTCCAGGTCGCGCGGTGCCTCACTCCGCAGGACCCACCAGCAGCCCTCGAAAGTGGCGACAGTTTCGCAGATCGCAGCCCCCCAGGGACGGCGAGGTCCCGCTCAGGTCCGCGCGGGCCTCACTCCGCAGGACCCACCAGCAGCCCTCGAAAGTGGCGACAGTTTCGCAGATCGCAGCCCCCCAGGGACGGCGAGGTCCCGCTCAGGCCCGCGCGGTGCCTCACTCCGCAGGAACCACCAGCAGCCCTCGAAAGTGGCGACAATTTCGCAGATCGCAGCCCCCCAGGGCGGCGAGGTCCCGCTCAGGTCCGCGCGGTGCCTCACTCCGCAAGACCCACCAGCAGCCCTCGAAAGTGGCGACAATTCGCAGATCGCAGCCCCCCAGGGACGGCGAGGTCCCGCTCATGTCCGCGCGGTGCCTCACTCCGCAGGACCCACCAGCAGCCCTCGAAATGGCCGACAGTCTCGCAGATCGCAGCCCCCCAGGGACGGCGAGGTCCCGCTCAGGCCCGCGCGATGCCTCATCTGCAGGACCCACCAGCAGCCCTCGAAAGTGGCGACAGTTTCGCAGATCGCAGCCCCCCATGGGCGGCGAGGTCCCGCTCAGGTCCGCGCGGTGCCTCACCCCGCAGGACCCACCAGCAGCCCTCGGAAGTGGCGACAGTTTCGCAGATCGCAGCCCCCCCAGGGACGGCGAGGTCCCCCTCAGGTCCGCCCGGCGCTCACTCCGCAGGACCCACCAGCAGCCTCGAAAGTGGCGACAGTTTCACAGATCGCGACCCAGGATGGCGTGGTCCTGTTTGGATCCGCGGTGACCCTCTCTGCAGGCCCCCAGCAGCCCTCGAAAGTGGCGACAGTTTCGCAGATCGCAGCCCCCCATGGGCGGCGAGGTCCCGCTCAGGTCCGCGCGGTGCCTCACCCCGCAGGACCCACCAGCAGCCCTCGGAAGTGGCGACAGTTTCGCAGATCGCAGCCCCCCCAGGGACGGCGAGGTCCCCCTCAGGTCCGCCCGGCGCCTCACTCCGCAGGACCCACCAGCAGTCCTCGAAAGTGGCGACAGTTTCACAGATCGCAGACCCCCAGGGATGGCGAGGTCCTGTTTGGATCCGCGGTGAGTACCCTCTCTGCTGGCCTCCCCAGCAGCCCTTGAAAGTGGCTGCAATTTCACACATCGCAGCCCCCCAGGGACGGCGAGGTCCTGTTTGAATCCGCGGTGGGTACCCTCTCTGCTGGCCTCCGCAGCAGCCCTCGAAAGTGGCGACAGTTTCAGATCGCAGACCCCCAGGCAGGCGAGGTCCCGTTTGGATCCGCGGAGAGTACCCTCTTGCTGGCCTCCCCAGCAGCCTCGAAGTGGCGGACAAGTTTCACAGATCGCAGCCCCCCAGGGACGGCGAGAGGAGACAAGAGGGAGGCGGGAGGCGGGAGGCGGGAGGAGAAGGACGCGACCACACCCCTCCATTCAAAACGAATACCCAACCAAGGAAGGCTGGGAATTATTATTATCGTTCCGGACTTACGAAAACCGGGTTCGTTATTCCCGGGACACTGTAAACCCCAGTCAACATTCCCAGAACATTGAAACCCAACTTCATAATGCTCCAGGGGATACATTATGAGCCCGGGTCAAGAATCCTGGAACATCATAAACCCCGGTGAATAT